AATTAAAAAATTTTATGTTCTCATAATGAGAACATAATTTTTAAATATTATGTTCTCAAAAATGGTTTTAATGTTCTTGAGAACGTTGAGAACATTAGATTTCCAACACTGCTTCAAATCACATCATAAAATTAATGTATAAACCTAAAAGTCCTATGGTGTAGTCTTTGTGCAAGTGAGATTTTCGGTATTTACATTATACATTTGATTTTCATGCATTTATGATTGAACCTACGTACGTAGCTAATTTAAGATGAAGTTACTTAAAATTATATTAATGAAACTACAACCGCCTAATAAGTTAAAAATGTTCCTTGGCTAATTTTACCATTGTGCAGGTTTATTTCTCTAAAAATTCCTATTCACAGAATGAAAAAGTTAAAAAGTTAATTCTGGCCAACAATCATGTAAACAATTATGTAATGCGGGCCTAAATCACAACATTAGCCAATCAAAATCAAGAATCTGCTGTGACAAAATTAACCATTACCCTAAAAAATTTCGCCAGCCAATCAGAATTCAAGATCCGGTGTAATATGAAAAACACAAAAAATCAAAAACCAAAAAATCGTATATAACTCAACATTTTACCTATGAAACTACTTTTTGCACATTAACAAAAAGTTTTCCTTGCGAAATTTTGATATTAAGAAAACTTTCTTTAACCTAACTTAATAGCAAAATCAAACCTTAATTTAACTGCGAAATTTTTTTTAGCGAAATTTCTTAAGTTGGTGATGCTAGGGTCTTAACAAAATTGGGTGGGTAGCTAGGTCTCTTCATCAAAATTATTAATCCACCTTCAATTTCCATAATAGCATAATGACGATTAAATATTTGCAAAAAAGTAATACGAAGTTGGTAACTGTTATCAAAATGAAATTGGGGGAATATGTTACTATTTAATAATTATATCGATACTGTCAATGCTAGCAACATTTTAATGCTAATACTATCATTAGGAATAGGCAATTATACGATACTGTATAAAAAAATGGTATAATAACCGTATAATTGGTATAGTATAATTAAAATTATACCATATAATTAGTATAATATATTTGTGTAACAAAATCAGCTAATAAAAATTTAAAATTTTTATTATTAAAAATTAATAATTTTAATTATCAATAAATAATAATAACAATAACAATAACAATAATTCTATATAATACATAATGTGAAAAAGAAAGACTTCAGTATGAAAACATTGGACAATTCTAAAAAAAGCATTATTACAAACCAGAATAATGATCAAGATGAAGACCAAACTGAAGATCAAGTTGAAGACCAATCTGAGGATCTAGTTAAAGATCAATCTGAAAATAACAAACCACACCTTCGTGTAAAATGCAATTATTGTCTAAAAATTTTTGAATGTGGAATTGTTACTCGAATGCAAGTGCATCTTAACTATAATTGTTTGGGAGCACCAGAAAATGCCAAATCAAAGTCTAAAAATTAACCAACCACTTCAATCAATATATCGACATCTACTAGTTCACATACTTCAAAACAGTTAAAAATTATATCAATTTATAATTTTATAGATTATTTAAGTGAAGAAGAACAAGAATCTCTTGAATTTATGTTAGCTCAGGCTTTGTTTGCTACAGGTGGACCATTTGCTTTTCTTGAAAATCCTTATATAGTAAAATTTTTTCAATGTATTCGCCCTGCATTTAAATTACCAAATCAGAAAAAACTTGCAGATGAATTATTAAATAAGGTTAATGATGATATTAAAGAAAAATCTAATAAACAAATTTTAAAAGCACGCAGTTTATGTATGATCTCTGATGGATGGTCTAATATTAATCAGGAATCTGTACAAAATTTTATTATTTGTATGCCAAAACCTATTTTTTTTAATGCTGTTTACTTGGGTGAAGTATCATATACATCAGAATGGATTGCTAATCAAATAATTCAACAAATAGAAGTAGTTAATATTAAAAAATTTTCAGCTGTTATAACAGATACAGCCAATGTAATGAAAGCAGCATGGCGTATTATTGAAGAAAAATATCCTAACATTGTTTGTTTTGGATGCGCTTCTTATATTTTAAATTTATTAATTAAAAATATTTTGAAAATTTATGATATAAAAACAGTAATTGATAATGCTACAAAGCTAGTTAAATACTTTAAAGCATGTCCACAAGCAATGTCAAAACTTAAATAGATTCAACTTGACAACTATAATAAAGAAATTGCATTGGTTTTGCCAGCAATAACATAATGGGGTAGTGATACAAATCGATGAAAATTTTTCAATCGATTAGTTGATAGATCATTTTATTCAACTAATCGATTAATCAGTTTTTATTCAACTAATCGATTAGTTAGCCAATCAATTAATAGACTAATCGACTAATCAACTAATCAATTAATCAATTAGTTGACTAATCGATTGGCCAACTAATCGATTAGTTGAATAAATAATAAACGAAACTTGGTAAAATACATGTAAGGTAGCAACTGAAACAGCAGGTTGATATTCTTATATGATCGGTTGATATCAACTAGTCAATTAATTGACCAATTGACTAATTGATTAATCGATTAGTTGGCCAATCGATTAATCGATTAGTCAACTAATCGATTAATCGACTAAGTTGGGTCTGTAAAATTCAAATTGATTAGTTGTCAACTTTACAACTAATCGATTAATTCGATTTTCGATTTGTATCACTAGCTATATAGTGTTATAAAAAATTTTATTGATAAAAAAAATCTGTACTACGTATGTTTGATTTTATTGGATGATCGGCCTCGCGCCCCTGTCATTAAATTCTGGCTTCACAGATCCGTGTCGAATGGATAACTCACCTAAGCCGCCAGGTTAATTGACCAGACCAAACCCAACCTAATAGTGACGGGTTGGTCAGTTGACGAGACATTTTTGATCATATTACACATCACTAAATAATTATACGGTAAAACTTTTGGTTCTCTACGTAAATACTGAAATATACTTGATAAATTATTTATTAGTTTATAAGCTTCTAACTGTATATTATTAAGCATAATTGTAACACAAGTAAAATTTTTGACTTGGAAAAAATGTAACAATTAAAAAAATTTGATAGATGAGATTCGATCATCTCGAATTTAAGCCTACCACTTTAAGTCCTCCAACAGAATCTCGAATTTAAGTTTATAGAATCATGCCTACCACTTCGTATTTAACTCCTCCAACAGAAGTTGGAAGTCCTATCCCAGCCAACACACCGCACGCTATCTCCGTAGCACTTCCAACTTGGCAAGATAATGTAGACTACGAAGAAGGTCGTGAGAGGGTTGTAAATCGAATGTTAACGGGGTATCCAAGGTTTTTTATTAATAAACAAATCGAGAAGGTATACCATAGATGGTGTTACAGTCAACTCTCTTTATAACGAACTAGTAGTTCTTTATGGTAAAAAAATTCCTCGTAATTTATTATGCTTCTATACCGAACTCTATAATATATTTTTTTTAAAAAAGTTCGTTATAGAGTATGTATATCTAGAGTCGACTGTATACGTTAAATTGTATGCGATATGTAACTTGAATTGATTGAATTAATTGAATTGATTAAATTTGGTTGACTTTTAGTTAATGTCAATATGTGAAGAAAAATTTGCAAAACCATCCGAATCATGTTTATTGTTTCCTAGTCGTAAAACTACGGAACGTTGTCGGGCTTACTTGCGTCGATACTTTGAGTCTAATAATCCTGCTTGTTTTCGTTTAGCCGAAATCACCATTGTAACACCAGATCAAAGTAAATCATTGACGCAAGGCAATATCACATTGCATATAATTTTTTTTTCGAAAGAAGCATTCTCTGTGGCAAAATCCTTTTGGCAACATACGGGAGATGGTATTAGTTCTCGTTTAGCCGAATTTGCGCTTAATATACTGCAAACAAAGTCCAATGAACAATATACAAAAAATTTTTACGAGGTTTCTACGAAAAGAGCATCATTTTGTAAACGATATTCTAGTATACAGACATCATACAGCCGGAATTTGGATTGTGAACCTAAGGGAACTTTGTTCACAGATATTACATCAATTGACGATTCTTCTTTTGTTGAGCAGAACTTTTATGTTGAAGAACGTTATGGTCGTAATTTACCTATATCATTTGCTGAAAAGGCAAAACTTGAACTTAGGCGAAGAATTGCTAACAGTCTAAAAATTGAAGAGAATAAGGATAGATTAGATAATATTATATCGATTTCAGCTGAATTATCTGTTATAACAGAACGATTAGTAAAAGATGTAACGGAAAATGAAGTTTTTCTTTTTCCGAGTGGGATGAGTTCTATCTTTCATGCTCACCGATTTTTATTAACAGCATTTCCTCCGAGGAAAAGTATTTGTTTCGGGTATGTATTAATAACATAATAGTTTAAAAAGTAGGGATGTTATGTGATTTTGTCTTAGACTAATGGACCACAATTAGTCTTAAGACCAGTCTGAGACCAGACCAATCTGTTGACACTTCTACATATTTTATAGGTTTACATATGTTGATACTTTAAAAATCTTGCAAAAATTTGGACCAGGATGCCATTTTTATGGCAATGGATCATCATCAGATATAGATGAGATAGAAAGTCTTCTTGAATCGGGAGAAAGGGTTTTAGCATTGTTTTGTGAATTTCCAAGTAATCCACTATGCAAATCACCAGATTTGAAACGACTTAGAACTCTTGCGGACAAGTATGATTTTCCAATTGTTATAGATGAAACAATTGGGAATTTTGTCAATGTTAAAGTTTTTGAATGGGCAGATATTATGGTATCAAGCTTAACCAAGATTTTTAGTGGAGATAGTAATGTCATGGGAGGGGGGTAATTATAATATTGGTTTTAATTAATTTAATTTTTAGTTAATGTTAAACAAATTAATTTACATGAATTTTAAAAATTAAAAAAGATTGATTTTGAATCCTCAAAAACGCTATTATGAAGAGCTGAAAAAGGTCATAAATAATGAATATGAAGACCTTTTATGGGGAGAAGATGCAATTTTCCTTGAACGTAATTCGAGAACATTCAGAGAACGTATTATGAAAATCAATGAAAATGCAGAGGAAGTATGTGAATTACTTAGAAATAGTCCTAAAGGTTAGTGAGCATTAACCCATATTTTTTTTAAATAACATGAAATTAAAATTTATAATTATTCTTTTATGAATAATAGTCAAAAAAATTTACTATCCAAAATATATTACGCCTGAGATCTATCTTCAATATAAGACAGTTAAAGGTGGATTCGGAGGGTTATTTTCAGTTATTTTCCATTCGGATCTTGCATCACAACAATTTTTTGACTCACTCATAGTTGCGAAAGGACCATCTCTTGGTACTAATTTTACTCTAGCATGCCCTTATACAATTTTAGCACATTATCATGAATTAGATTGGGCATCAAGTTACGGTGTTGAACCAGGGATTATTCGAGTAAGCGTAGGCTTGGAAGATAAAAATGATTTGTTGAAAAGATTTCAACAAAGTTTAGATGCTATTACTGAATGATTTTTTTTTTAAAAAAAATCTAACAGTAATGTTTCATGTATAAACTACTTGGTATTTAGTTTTATAATTTTGCAAACTATTCGTCAAATGAATCTTACTGATTTATAGTGAAACAAAGGAAAATTTTGAAATTATGAAACATTTAATAAATATATATATATAACTTGTTTACATAATTATAATGTACGAGAACAGTTTTTTTAATTGTTATTAAAGTTGTTAATTTATGTGGTAGAAATAATAAAATATAATGAATTTATGTATGTTTAGAATATAATTCTCGTTATAGCAATTCTATACAATGCAATAAATTTTTGGATCACTTCATACGTATAAAAGGAGGAATCTGGTTGGTAACGTGATTTATAGTGAATATTTGTATAAACTTGTCAGTGAAACAAAATCAGTTTTGATTTGAAACTATAACAAATTCTTCTATAAAGAGACTATAAAGAGAATTAGACAACAGTATAGTGTTTAAAAATATCATATGATTAGGTCATCTCGAAGTAGTGATTTGAACCGAGAAAAATTTCCTTAATCGGTTAACCGAACTGAATTATTTCATTCAACCGATTGCCAACCGG